CAAGCAGAAGAGACAGAGCAAGGAAAATCAGGGATACTCAAAAGTGCAGAGGTTCTTGGTGGAAAGAGCAAATAGCTTTATGCCACAGGCAGTATATCTCAGGAGTTCCACAGCCCCCAGCTGTAGCATCACCCAGAGTGTGGTCAACATACCTGCATCCTATCTCAGGCCTGCTCATCAGAAACCTCTGTAAATGGGGTTCAAGAATCTGGGCATCCCAGAGGAACATTAAGAACATAAAATTTGGAGAGATACAGGACCAGCCAACAAAGTGAGCGGTGGACTGCAAAGGGGTGAGCCCAATTGGGTTGAGGCCAGGGCAATCATTCATTCAGCATTCATTCATTCATTCATGACACATGCATGCATACATTCATGCATTCGTTAAATAAGTATATATTGAGCTGGGAAGGTACTCAGGCATACTTGTACACTAGACAAACATGATCCCTGCTCCCTTTCACAGTTTAGAGAGAACACAGTCATTAAATAAACAAGCAAACAAATACCTAATATAGCATCAGATTATGATTAATGCTTTGCAGGAAAGAAAGCAGGGTAGACAACCATCATTCAGAACTGCCTGAAATCGAGCTGAATGGAAGTCCTACAACTACGAAATTAAAGCAGCAGCCACACCGAGACTGGTAGGAGGGGCAGAGGCATGGATGGTCTGGTCCCATATCCACATATGGCGGATAAATATCAGGAGGGACATCTCAGCTGGGAAGGTCCTCCCTGAGGACTGAGGGGTCCCCATCCCACACCAGGCGCCCAGCTCAGGGTTCCAGTGCCAGGAAGAGAAGTCCTCATAACTTCGGGCTGGAAAAACCAGCAGGAACTGAGGTTGAGGAAAGCTGAGGCTTCTGGAGCCCCAGGCAGTTCCTCTTAAAGGGCCAGCATAGGGAATTACTCAGACTTGCTCCCTTTTAGCTCGGAGGGGAGGCAGTTTAAGGGGTGCCAGAGACATACAGGGAAGAACTGAGATGTTTGCCCTTGGGACAAGGGCTGAAGAGGTGGCTTTCTCCTGGACAGACGGCTGGCGGAGGCTGATGTCCCTTTGGTGAAACTTTCCCTGGGGTGGCAGATGGCAGCCATATCTGGGACTCCGGCATCCTGGCTCACACTGTTTGCCCCGCCCTGGTGATTCCCTGAGGCCCCACCTCACCCAACTTTCAGGCCGACCCAAGCTGTTTCCAAAGGCTTTATCATAAGATTGGCCTGTCTTGGTTCCTGCTTCAAAGTTTCCTAAAATCTCTCAAACAAGCGGCATCTGGTCTCAGTGAGCCCCATACCTCTCGATAAGTGGCCCCAGGCCTGGCACTAGAAGCAACCAGCCTTGGTTCACAACTTGGCTTTTCCTGGGCACCTCCAAACCCAGCACAAGAAGCAGCCATCTGCAGATCAATTTGTAGCTATGCCCGGTGGCCTGGAACCAGGCAGTAGCTGACCTTGCCCCAGAGCCAGCACATCCGGTGGACAGCTTTAGACCACAATGAAACACCACCACCCAACCACCTCCACAAGTGACACACTCAATGAGCAGACTCAGTGGGCACCATCCCCCTGCTAAAGTAAGTTTTACTCTGTGTGGTGGGCCCCTACACAGCTGATCCTCCAAGGTAGTCAGAGGCCAGTGGTCAGTGGGCATAGCCAGTCCTTACAGCTGATCAGCCTGAGTAAATCCCTCCCACTGACATGCCAGTAGCAATCAAGACTCAATTACAACAGAAGGGTATACAGTCCACATTAGGGGTGCACCTCGAGGGCCCGGCTGGGGTGATCAGGGAGGCTGTGCCACTGGATCCTACAGGACACCTACAACAATAGGTCACCCTACAAAACCTAGGAGACATAGAAATTCTACTGAATACATAGAAATAACCACAAGGAAGCAGCCAAAATGAGGAGCCAAAGAAACTCCAGGAAAAGAATTAAACAAAATGGAGATAAGCAATCAATCAGATGCAGAATTCAAAACACAGGTTATAAGGTTGCTCAAGGAACTTGCTGAGACATTCAAGGAACTTAGTGAGAACTTAAAGGAACTTAAGGAGACCTCCAAGGAACTTGGTGAGAACATCAACATCAAAAAGGACAAGTCAGAAATGAAGGATGCGCTAACTGAAATAAAAAAATAATCAGTAGTAGAGTAGGCAAAGCCAAGAAGCAAACCATTGATTTGGAATATAAGGAAGCAAAAAACACCCAACCAGAACAGCAAAAAGAAAAAAGAATCCAAAAAAATGAGGATCGTGTAAGGAGCCTCTGGGACAACTTCAAGCGTGCCAACATTCACATCATAGGGGTGCCAGAGGAGAAGAGAGAGAACAAGAGATTAAAAACCTATTTGAGCCCTGGCCAGTTTGGCTCAGCGGTTAGAGCGTCGGCCTGCGGTCTGGAGAGACCCGGGTTCGGTTCCCGCTAAGGGCACGTACTTCGGTTGCAGTTTGTCCCCGGCCCTGGTTGGTCGTGCGGGTGGCAGCCACTCGATGTGTCCCTTCACGTCGATGTTTCTCTCTCTCTCCCTTCCTCTCTCTCCCTCCCACTCTATCTGTACAAAAAATGGAAAAATATCCTCGGGTGAGGATAAAAAAAAAAAAAAAAAGGAAAAAAAAAAAAAAAACTATTTGAAACAATGACAGAAAACTTCCCTAACCTGGTGAAGGAAACAGACATACAAGTCCAGGAAGCACAGAGAGTCCCAAACAAGATGAACCCAAAGAGGTTCACACCAAGACACATACATCATAAAAATGCCTAAGGTTAAATACAAAGAGAGAATCTTAAAAGCAGCAAGAGAAAAGCAGTTCGTTATCTACAAAGCAGCTCCCATAAGACTGTCAGCTGAATTTCTTAAAAGAAACTTTGCAGGCCAGAAAGGAGTGGCAAGAGATATTCAAGGTGATGAAAAGCAACGACGTGCAGCCAAGATTACTGTATCCTGCAAAGCTATCATTTATAATCAATGGACATATCAAGAGTTTCCCAGACAAGAAAAAGCTAAAGGAGTTCATCACCACCAAACCAATATTATATGAAATGTTGAAGGGTCTTCTTGAAGGAGAAGAAGAACAAAAATATGAACAATAAAATTGCAATTAATACATATCTATCAACAATTGAATCTACAAACAAAGTAAGCAAGCAGAACAGAAACAGACTTGTAGATATAGAGAACTTTTTGTTGCTTGCCAGATGGGTGGGGCTGGGAGACGGGTGAAAAAGATGAAGGAATTAAGAAGTACAAATTGGTTGTTAGACTAATGAACCTCAAAGGGAAGGGGGAAGGGAAGGCAGAATGAGATAAACCAAAGAACTTCTATGCATATTAGCATAACCAATGGACACCGACAATTGTGTGGGGAAGGCAGGGAGGGGGTAGAATTGGGGAGGAGGGGGTCAATGGGGAAAAAAGGGGGGGGATATCTGTAATACATTCAACAATAAAGATGAGTTAAAAATTTAAAAAAAAAATTTTAATAAAGCAGGGTAAGGGGTTAGAGTGGAGGAGGTTGTTTTGGATGGGTGTCAGGGAAGCCCTCTGCTGAGGCTAGTGAGGGGTGAGAGGAGTCACTTAAGAGGAAAGAATGAACCATGCAGATGTTTGGAGAAAGAGGACTCCAGGCAGCGACAGCAGAACATGCAAAGGCCTGTAGAACAGAACATGTGAAAGAGAGAGACCAGATAGGAAGCTACTGAAAGAATTCAAGTATGAGAGGCTAGAAGCTCAGACCAGGGTGGAGGCAGTCAGACTCAGAATATATTTTGAGGGTAAAGTCGAGTAGCTTTGCTCTTGGATCAAATGTGGGTGTGCGAGAAGATAGGAGTCAAGGTTATTGCAGCCAAGAATGTAGGCGATGAGGGGAGAATTAGAGGAAATAATGTAAAAGAGGTAAGGAATGAGGGAGGGGTGGGAGTGCAGACCACATACAGGTTCCTGCAAACCAAGTGGAGGACTTGACTTTTTCTTTGAGTATGATGGGAGCCCTGGGAAGGTTTGAACAGAGGATGGATGTGACCTGGCATATGTTCTCACAATGTCTAGTTGCAGATTGTAGAACAAACTTTAGGGCGGCAGAGACGGAGCAGGGCAGTTCAGAGGCTGGTGTAGGCATCGGAATGAGAGATGATAATGGCTTGCAGCAAAGTGCCAATCCGGACGGGAAGCTGGATTTCAAGAAACCTGTTGAGGAAATAATAAGTGGTAGAAATCATGAAGGAGACAGGCAAATAAACAATTGAATTTGGTAGTGGGTCAGGAACTCCAGCTCCGCAGCGGGCAGCTGTGTCTTCTTGGGGGAAGTGGCCTCAATTCTCTGAGCTGGTTATGTCATCTGCAGAATGGGGGTGATAATGGAACATATCTCATAGACTTGTTAGGATGATATAAACGCCTTGGCACGGGATTTAGCACACGATAAACATTTAATAAACGGTATCCTAGGAGCCAAACAGCTAAGTTCCAGTACCATCTCTGCCACTCAGTGGCTGCGTCATTTTGGTCAAATGTAACCCTCTGTGCTTCTATTTCCCCAACTGTAAAGTGGGGCTATCATGAATACCAATCTTATAAGGTTGGATCGTGAAGAGTTAATAAATGAATAGAAGTAGTAAAGCATTTCAAACAATGTGGCACGTGGCAAGAACTGAATAAGAGCCAATTATTGTTATGAATATATTTTAGCTATATTTCATAACATCCTCCCCCACTAGCATACGCCCACCCTATTCCGCGGATGGGAAGTGAGTGGCTCAGAATAAGGTGGCCCCTTCCTCAAGGGCGCAACACCCTGCCTGTGGCGGTCCTCTTGCAGCCGGGAAGATCAGGACTTCAGCTTCGAAGGACCTGCCCCCAGGGGCCACGCCCCGCCCCGTCCGCGCGCTGCCTGGCGGAACCTCTACGTGTCGCGCTCAGGTTTCCAGCCCGGGCGCGCTCGCGCAGCTGCACCGCTCTTTAGAGCTACTTCCGGCGGCCGCGCCCCCCACCACAGGCGTCTCCATTTTGGCCGTGGGTGGAGAGACAGCTGGACGAGTGGATTATCGGTGCAGAGTCATCAGTACTCGGAGGGCCAAGTGGGCTCACCGTACTCTCTCACTTCCTTTCTCTGCCCGCAGAAGCCAGGGGCGCGCATGGCGGGCTTGGAGGTGCTGTTCGCGTCGGCGGCGCCGGCGATCACCTGTGCGCAGGACGCGCTGGTCTGCTTCCTGCACTGGGAAGTGGTGACGCACGGCTACTACGTCTTGGGTACGGGCGACCAGGTACGCCACGGAGCCGGCTCGGAGCTGGGTGGAGGGGCTAAGGTGTCTTCTGCCCAAACCCATAGTACCTGGTCCAGAGCACCTCACCTGCCCCTCTCCCAAGTCTGGGACCTGGGGTTCATGACACCAGCAGTATAGTCTGCGGGTTGGGGAGATGCTCTACTGCCCCACTCAGCCCAAAGCCCCTCACAACACTCCTGGCACGTAATTGGAAACCCAAGGTCAAAGACTTGCGTTCAGCACAGCCTGGCAGTCTCAGAGGCCAGGATCGGGTGGACCTGGTACCAAGACGGGTGTCGCTCCCCTGCGCACTCCTCACCTACCAGTAGTGTCCACTAAGCTCCTTCCCACACAGTTGGGGCGAGGGGACTGTATTCAGTATGGCCCTCATACTGTACTGGATCCTCCACTAAATAACTGGATCCAAGCACCGGTGTAGGGGTGAGCTTTGATCTAGTCAGCCCAAATCTAGGGCCCTTTCTTCACTCCTCAGCACGGGCCCAGAGAACTCACACACCCCTCATCCTTTGCAAACCGCTCACCGCTTCGTCCCTAATTCAGGCTCTGGAAAACCAGCACCTCACACACGTACACACATACACGCGGTTGTAAGGGCCAGGTGTGGTTTCCTCCCCACAGGCTGTCCCCACAGGACTAGCCCCTCCAGCTCTCCCATCCTCAGGTGCTGCCTTTGGGGGCCTTGTTGTTATCCCCACAGAGCCCTAGAACTTCTGGACCCAGCCTACCTCACTAATTCTTTGCTGTAGCATTCTCCCATATTCCCTGCCCCTTTATTTTCCTTCTACTCTACCAGAGAAAATACCTTCCCTGCCATGCTTCCCAAACACACACACTCAGAACTCAAAGCCTGCTCCTCGCTGTTACTCTCTTCTCACTCTCAGAACCTAGACCAGTTCTGGGGAGCAGGGCACCTCACCCCTTGCATCTAACGGTGAATTTTTAACCTTACTCTCATTTCTGACTGCTTCAGTTCTCAAGCTCGCTAATCCTTTTTTAGTTTCTCAGTTGTACATCCAGAGCTCTGGGCTGTTCCTCTCCAGCACAGAGCTTTAAGGATCCTCCCTCAAAGATTGTTTATACATCCTGAGCACTTAGAGCCAGGTCCTTCACCATATTTCTGGCTGCCCCATTCCTGTCCCTTAGAACTAGTGACCAAAACCACCACACCCCTCTTACATGGGTCTGCCCACAGGTATCAGAATCTCAAGAACTGTGATGGGTTCCTCCCTCCCCCAGACCTGAAGTTTGTCACTGGGACACCCATTACACACTTAGCATCCTTTATCCCCAAACTCTAGGCTTACACATACTTCATTCCTCATGTGGACTCTAGGACTGGAGATAAAGCTAGAAAAGAAGTGCCAGTCTTACACACACACACACACACACACACACACAGAGCAGGAACTATTTCTCCCTCCGATTGCCTCTTCCTGGCTTGCATTTCAGACCTTGGGACATGGTAGAGACAGAGTCCACACTCACTAGTGTCAGGTTTCCCCTTTCAGTGTAGTCTCTCCCCAAAAGAAACTTTTTGTCTCCTCATCTGTCCCACTCCAGCTTTCTAATCTTTAACAGCTCTTTCACTTGCCCCAATCATTTCATTCCGTTTTTCCTGAGAACTTCTCCCAGGAAGCTGTGTGTGGTATGATGCAGGGAACAGTGGGATGAGAGGGGAGTTAAGACTTGGTCCTGACCTTGGAGCTCCCCCATCAGCCCCCAGCTCCCCTCACCCCTTGCCTTGTCTTTCAGATCTAACATTGTCTGCCCTGCCTTCTGCCCTCCTCATGTACCTCACTCTCCTTATTTACTTCCAGCTAGCTACTGCTATACTGCTACTGTCAGAAGCTCTCTCCCCAGGATCAGTTTTTTTGTTACCGAGGGCCTGTGAGACTCCCTTCCTTTCTCCCTATGCCACAAGTACACATCAACACTGCAGATCTGCTCCCCCCTCTTATCCTCTCTCATATCCTGTCAGCCACTCTGATCACGTTGACAGCTCAGAGACGTTAGTTTGTATAGATTATTGCCTCCTTCCTCCCAGCATCATCCCCTTGCCATATGCAGTGGGCCCCCAGATTTTCAGGTGAAATGTGCAGAAAGAGTATGATCTCATTTTAATACTAGTTTAAAAAATAAATAAATAAATAAATAAATAAATAAAAGATCCTTAACTAATTCTCAAAGGTCCATCTAGTTCCACTCTGTTCATGGTGCCATGTGCTAAGTTCATGCAGAAAATGGTGCTGGCTCCACACATCATAGGGGAGGCCAGGGAGAGTGGGAATGAGGGTTTCGTAAGGTATTGCCCACTCTTCATATGACTATCCCAGTGCTAAATAATGCATGCTGTTTGCGGGGATGGGTATTTGTATTCCACACTAGAGTGTATTTTTGCTGCTCTTGGCCCTTTTTAAGTGCCATTGGAGCTCAGGTTGCACGTGTCCTCTCACTTCTGCTGAGTCTACTTTCATTCAGAGTTGAAGCCCTTTGGAGGGCATCTTTCCTATTAATTTATTTAAGAGAGGGTTTTATTTTCTGGCCTGGGATCAGAAGACTCAGCAACCAGTAGTGTCTGCCAAGCTCAGAGGATGTGTATGTTGCCTCTCCAGCTACTCCTGCTCCCCACCCTTCTGGGAGTGATAAAAGAGAGAGGAAGGTCCCAAAGTGTGTATGCACTTGATTATATAATATATTGGAAGTTAAATAAAAAGCAAAATTGTCTCCTTTTTTCTCTGGTTTTGTCTCCTTTGGCACCAGGGAATTGTGTATGTAAAACTTGATTAGGAGAGCAATGAATTCATTGGCTTCAATAAAAAGCCAATATTTGAATTTGGATTTCTTTCTTGAAGTCAGCACCATGCCTCCTGAGAACTTTACAGCTATGTCAAGTGGTTTAGGTGGCAAGGGAATAGAAATGGCCATAGACTTCAGTTAGAGAATTTTGTTTTCTGTTGTGGGAATCTAAGGATATGATGACAGTGAGAAAATGCCCAAAATGATTTGTTTGAGTTTCTTTGGGTGCATGTTAGCCCAGAAACACTGAGATGAACTCAAGACCAGTAAAGAATGCTTCTAGCCCCAGGAGTTTGCCTAGCAGGGGGTGGGGAACATCTGGCCCTCGAAATCAATACCAGCTGACATCACACGCCTCACCAAATTAGCCTGACCAAATATATCAGGCTAATTTTTAAGTTGATGATTTTGTATGGCCCACAAATGACATAAATATGGCCCTTGGCAGAAAAAGGGTTTCCTTCCTTTGTCCTCTTCCAGAGGATAGCTGTATTTACTTTCTTGGGACCAGTCTGGTGGACCTGGCTGGGAAAAATCTTCTCCAGCCATACCCTGGGCAACCAGAAGCTCTGACTGCCAAATCCAGCTCTGTGCCTGACTTACAATGACTTGGGGCAATTTTCAGGCCCTGTCAGTCCTTACTTAGGTTTTTTATCCAAGGAGTTAAACCACACAGCTGCACCTTGGCTACTTTCCAGTTGTAGCTGTCTGGAAGGCCTGATATTTAATGTCAGGGCCTAGAGGACAGTTGAATGCCAAGCTTGTACTGATATCACCGAGGCCAGTCCCTCTCTTCCCACTGGTTCTTTCCATATCAAAGCAGCCCTTGGGCTGAGGAACATTGGTTCCATTGCAGTGAGAGGCATCAGCCTCACTTGGCCCTAGAATTTTTTATTCTGGAAGCCAGAGGTTATGGGATATTGAGCAGACTGAATTATCTATATTTCAAGAAAAAGTTTTGATGGATTGCTATAGATGGAGGATGTAAGTTCAAAGGCCTCTAACAGAACAGCAAGCAGGCATATTATCAAATTCTTGGCTTCCAAAATAAGCCTTAAATCCACAATGCAAAACATGTTACAGGAAATGTACCCAGTTAGAATGGAGAGTTTCTCTTTCTCACTTAGCAAGTGGTTTGATTAGTTTCACTCTCATTTCTCTGCTTCAGGCCTTTGAGTTTCATTGTCATGCAGCCAGGTTTTAAACCATGTCAATTTTAATATCTTGACTTTTATTTGGGACCTCTTCCCTCATTGGATTCCTGGGTACCAGGGGTGGCCAAAGAGGAGAGCCCCTAATTCTCTACTCTTGGCCTCTGGCTCTCCTTGGGGTGTGTAAGGCCTGTGTTACTGGACCTTTGTCTTTTGCTCTGTTCTCTATCTTTGATCCTATTCTGTCGCACTATAGTCTCACGAACACAGATCTTCCCAGTCCACTTTCTCCATGTTTAGTCATATAAATATGCATCCATGAAAAGAAGTAGATTTTTTGTGTGTTTTTAAAAACGGTTACATAAATGTCACCAGCTATAAGTCTCATTGTTTTTTCTTTTCTTTATCGTATTTTTTTCCTTTTATCTATAATGCTACAATTAGATCTAGTTTGTTCCTTCTCACTGTTATATTGTGTTCCTCTGTGAGCATATTTTTCTTTTCACCTCCACTTTGGTGATGAAGATTCTCTGTCAGTCCCCCAGGCCTCTGTGCACAGGGTTTCCTCCAGGAGTGGAGGTTTGGGGTCACAGCGTGTCAGCTCACCTCATTGCACTGAATACTGCTAGACTCCCCTCCAGAGAGGTTGTAAGAGTTTAAGTACCACCAGCAAGCGGTGTCTGGAGGTTTCCCATTCTCTTCACACCCACACAAACACCTGGCAAAAAATAGAAATATGGAAAATAAGCAGTCTGATGGTTGTAACCTGGTATCTCATTATCTCAACCTGTGCTTCTCTGAGTGCTAGTCAAGTTGTACAACCCTTTATACACTGTTAGCTGCTTTTTTGCTTGTTCATATCTTTTGCTGGTTTTTCAAGTGGGTTCACAACTTTTCATTTTCCAAGCATTTCCTTTATGTGCTTATTATTAATTATTTTCATTTGTAGCCATGGCAAATATCTCATCCTAGCCTGTGACTGCCTATTAACTTTGTAGTGTCTCTTGTTGAAGAGAAGATTTAAATTATGAATAGTCTCAAAGACAGAACTTTTTTTCTTTTGTCAGTCTTGTTTAAGAAATCTTTCCCCAGCCCTGGCCAGTTTGGCTCAGCGGTTAGAGTGTCAGCCTGCGGTCTGGAGAGACCCGGGTTCGGTTCCCGCTAAGGGCACGTACCTTGGTTGCAGTTTGTCCCCGGCCCTGGTTGGTCGTGCGGGTGGCAGCCACTCAATGTGTCCCTTCACGTCGATGTTTTTCTCTCTCTCTCTCTCCCTTCCTTTCTCTCCCTCCCACTCTATCTGTACAAAAAATGGAAAAATATCCTCGGGTGAGGATAAAAAAAAAAAAAGAAATCTTTCCCCACCTGGAAATCACTATATTAGTTCTTACTATAGAAACAGTTTGAGAGCTATTTTTCAAACTTTAGTGTATAAAAGGAAAGTCTTAAAATTGCTAAAGAAAAGAGAGAAAGACATCACAACTCAGTGATGCATTTTTATACCCACCAGGTTGGCAAAAATATTTAAATTGGACAATAGCAGTGTTGCTGACTACATGGAATAACAGGAAATCTTTTACATTGCTGATTGTAATGTAAATCAATTACACTTTATCTTATAAATTAAAAGTCCTTCCCCGAGAAATACTGTACAGGAATTTATCCATATGTGTGCTAGGAGGTATATATAGGAATGTTCATAACAGTCTTTATAATAGCTAAACAGATTAACTGTATACACTCCAATTATCTACCAACAAGTCAGAGTGTAACTGTATCATATTCATACAGTGGTATGCTATATACCTGTGAACTGTAGAGCAATAGAATGCTAGATAGTGAATCAACTATGGTTAAATGCATTGACATGGTTGAATCTTCAAGAAACTATCGAATGAAAAAGGCAAGTGATGCAATTTATATAAAACTGAAAAACATTTGAAATAGTTTATTTTTAGGGTTGTGTGTATAGTAATACAACTATGAGGAAAAGCAAAGAAATGTTTTGGAAATACAGAGTAGTAATTACTCATGAGGGACAGGGAGAAAGCTTCATTAGGGTACACTATTCGAGGCATTAGCAGTATTGGCGATATTCTATTTCATAAGCTGGTGGTAGATACCTAGGTGTCCATTTTATAATTCTCTTTTTATTTTGTACATATGCTACATTTCATATGTGTATGAAAATTATTCATAATTTTTGTTAAACCACTACAGTAGTCTGGAGAGGGGTGCCTTAGAGTCTGTATTTTTAGTCAACACTTTGATGATCCTGTTGTAGATGGCCCACGTTCCGAACTTTGAAAAACACTACCTTAGAATTTCACAGTGTCCCTTGAGATGATGGGTCTCATTCTTAGCAGGGAGATGCCGAGGAGATTATTATTGAAACAAGGTTGCAGATTCTTGGCAGGTTCCTGGGCTGTATGACAAAGGCAGTCAGAGACGAGAGAGGAGCAAGAGTGCAAGTCCAGAGACCTGGGACTCAGACCTGACTTGCTGGGGGGCCTTGGACATTTTATTTCTCCTGACCTCCATACCCTCACCTGTGAAGTAAGGGGTAGGATTAGATCGTAAGGTCCTTTACAGCTCTTGTGTTCTGAGGCCATGACCTTCTCCTCTCAACCTTGGTGTCATCTCAGCCGGGTCCCCGTGATAAGAAATCAGAACTGCTGCCTGCCGAGTGGAACAGCAATAAAGACCTGTATGCTCTCCGGTATGAGTCGAAGGATGGGTCCAGAAAGCTCCTTGTGAAGGCTGTCACTGTGGAGAACAGCATGATCATCAATGTGCTGGTGAGTCTCTGAGGCATGGAGGGGTCTGCTGCTGGGAGTGGATGTTGGGAACCCCTTTCTGAGACTCCTTTAACTGTATGGATGAAGAGCCCTAAATGTTTGTGAAGCCTTTACCTAGTGATCCTACTTCTGGAACTTTATCCTGAGGCAAGAACCCTAAATATAGGAAAGCTTTGTGTGCAAAGATTTTTACCACCTGGTATTGGGGGTGGGACTTATCATCACAGAGGAATGGATAAATAAATTAAGATAAATCCATTCACTGACAGCTTGGGAGGAAAAAACTGTAGCCCCTCGGGGATACTTTTATTTCTTTAGCTAAGACTGGCTCTCTGCTGCCTTGGAGCCTTTACCCTCTTGTTTTCTGTGCCGGAAAGCTCTTCGCCTCCACTGTGGGTGCCTCACATGCACACCCCTTCATCCTTTCTTTATCCAGGCCTACTCCCTCTCATTTTCCACTTCCTCAAAAAGCTCAATCCTGACTACCTGCTCTCACCTGTCAGAAAAATCTAAATTGTGCCTCTGCTTCATCATTGCGTTTTCCTGCCTGGTGCCACAGTGTGCCATTATGTACTGATTTATGTTTTGGGTTAATGTTTGTATTCTGTCCCTGGACAGTGAGCACCACGAGGACAGTGGTTTTCTTTTTGTTAGTTTTGTACTGGCTGTCTGTATGTGTTCACAGAAAAGTATTACACAGTCTGTGTTGTACGGCCCCTGACTTCTTTCACTCAGTATGTTTGGGAGGTCATTTACTATGCTGTATTCCATAATACCGTGTTTTATTTATCCCTTTCCCTTTTGCTGAACATTTAGATCTTGTATCAGACAAGGTTCTCAGTTACAAACAACAAAATCCCTTCAGGCTAGTTTAAACAGATTGGGTTTATTAAAGAATTGGGATAGCTCATTGAATTGTTAGAAGGACTGAAAACAGGTTCAGATCTGGGCTCCAGGACAGTGCCCAGAACCATGACATGGAAACCACTGCTACTGTCACCACACTGGCCAGTACTGCCAGCCCTGGTGCTCCTTCTCATGGGCCACTGATGCTGTGACCCCTCCTTAGCAAGATGTCTGTCTCTTGCTCAGCCTGCTCCCCAATGTCGCCCACCTCCAAGTCGAAGTTGTGCATCCATTTGGCACCTCAGTGCCCAAGCTGCAGAAGAGCCTAGGAAGTAGGTTTTCTGGGCTCTGCCTCAGAAGAACAATATTCCTATATCAGATAAGTCCCCAGGCATTTGAAGGGTATTTTCTTTGTTACAAATAGTCCTTATCTATGTCTCTGTCTCTCACTTTTAATTTTTTTTCTAGGAATATTGCTCACAGCAAGTGTCAGACTTGACCCTCAACTTGGATGATTATATCGATTCAGAACACCTGGTTGACTTCCACAGGTACTTCTCTAAGTGATAGATAGCTTTCCCTGGGAAAAAGAGCCAGTGGCCAGATGTAAGGGATGGAATGGAGGTATCCAGAGAATTAAGGAAGGTTAACAGAAGGATCTTTCACTTCTGAGCACAGTCACTTCTCAGTTCTCTTTTCCTGTTTTTAATTTATTTGAAGAGAGGACTCAGATGGGAAATACTGTGTGAAATAAAATCATGCAGTCAAGAGTCCACAAATGCTGTAGTGGCTATGGGGTAGTGATGGGGCTGGGCCAAGGGGTTCACCCAGAGTAAGCTCCTGGGAAAAGGTGTTCCTAACAGGTTTCCACTCTACCCCCAACTTTTATTTTAATCCTTACCTGAGGATATGCTTTTTCATTTCTTCACAAGAGAGTGGAAGGGATAGGGAGAGAGAAATATCAATTGGTTGCCTCATGCACACGCCCGACTGGGGATCAAACCCAAAACCTGGGTATCTGCCCTGACCAGGAATCAAACCTGTGACCCTTCAGTGCAAGGGACAGTACACTAACCACTGAACAACACCGACCAGGGCCGAACTTTATTTAATAGACTACTTTTAGAGCACATTTAGGTTCACAGCAAAATTGAGCAGCAAGTACAGAATTCCTGTGTACCTCCTGCTCCCCCAACACACACGCACACGACAACCTCCTTCACTGTCAGCATTCCTCACTAAAATGGTGCATTTTTAAAAAAATGAATGAACCTATACCGATGTACATTATCAACCAAATTCCATAGTCTACTTTAGAGTTCACTCTTGGTGTGGTGGTGGTGGAGTATGTTTAGGTTTTTAAGAAACTGCCAAACTGTCTTCCAAAGTGGCTGCACCATTTTGCATTCCCACCAGCAGTGAGTGAGAGTTCCTCTTGTTCCACATCCTTGTCAGCATTTGTTGGTATTAGGGGTTCAGATTTTGGCCATTTTAATAGAGGTATAAGGGTATTTCATTATTTTAATTTGCAGTTCCCTAATAACATGATGTCAAACATCTTTTCATATGCTTATTTGTCATCTGTATATCTTCTTTGGTGAGGATATTGTTTTGGTCTAAGGCTCATTTTTTAATTGTTTTCTTATTGTTGGGCTATAGGAGTTTTTTTGTATATTTTGGATAACAGTCCTATATCATACAGTTTATGTTTTGCCAATATTTATTCTAGTCTTGCTTGTCCTCTCATTCTATTGACTTTTTATTCTGAAATTTGCAACCCTACAGAAAAGATGGTTGCAAAAAGATTACATTGAACGCCTGCCCATGTACCCATCACCTAGATTGACCAATTTTTTTTAACATTTTGCCATACTTGCTTAATTTTTATGTTTTTTTATTCTAGAACCATCTGAGAATTATTTCAAGACTTTATGAACCTTAACTCCTAAATAGTTTAGCATCTATCTCATTAAAAGGGTATTCTCCTATGTAACCTTAATACAGTTGTCACACTTAAGAACTGTAACATTGATACATTAGTGTCATTTAATACATAGCTCATTTTCAGATTTCTCTAGTCATCACAGCAGTTTCTTTTTTAGATAGCTAGTCTTTAGGTTTGGGTTTGAGGTGTGTTTTTTTGTTGTTTTTTTTTCCTTATCCAAGATTACACATTGCATTTATTTTCATGTCTCTTTAATTACCTTTAACCTAGAACAGTTTCTTAGAAACTTTTTGTGTGTAACATTGATATTTTTGAAGATTTGGGGTCAGTTGTTGTATAGAATGTTCAGATTTCTTTCCTCAAGATTGGATTTATCAGATTGTTTCCTCATCATTTGATGTAGGGTGAACATTTTTGACAACACTACGTAGGTGAGGCTGTGTTCTCAGTGTTTCACATCAGGCATGTGATATCTGTGTCACAGCTGATTTTGTTCAATTTGATCGCTTGATTATGACAGTATCTTCCAGCTTTCTCTACAGTAAAGGAGTCTGTTTCCCTTGTGTTTAACAAGTGATCTGTGGGATTGTATCAGCAGACTGTGAATAATCTGCTTCCCAATGGCCTTTCACCCTGTGGTTTTAGCATCTATTGATGATTCTTGCCTGAATTGATTATTATTGTGATGATTATAAAACAATAATTTGTTTATTATTCTTTTTACATTTATTAGTTAGCATTTTTTAAAAGATTTTTTATTCTTTTTGTCCCCTTTATTTTTAATTTGTAATTATCAGTATAGACTTACGGATTCTTTTTTATTCAGTTATAGTCCATTTCTGTCATCCTTTGAATGCTCAAGTTGTTCAGAGTTGACCAGTAGGAACCCCTTCAAGCTGCTTCCTTTGTCCTTTTCACATGTCCTCATCCTTCTTTGAGTATTTTTATACTTTCTGGCACAATAAGATGTTCTAGTCCCATCTTGCACTTCCTTGTCCCGATTTGAAATTAGTCGTTTTTCTAAGGAACCATGATTTCTCTTTGTAGGGAATATTATTTAAAAATAAAAGTCTGCACCCTGAGGGTGTTCGTTAAAACTGAAAATGTCATTGCTTCCAGGCCTTTTCAGAGAATAGAGCCAGGAAATTTTTTCCTTAAAGTTTGTTTTTCTCAAATTTCACACTGACACTTTTACTTTTTATCTAACTCCATGGGATTCTTATTCTCTTATTCCATCCTTGTATCTCCCTTCTGCCGTGAGAACTCTGATGCCCAGCACCATCAATATATTTACTTATTTGTTTGATCCTAAAATACACACAAATAGTTTCTAAACTGCTACATCAGTACCTACTAAGAACAAATCTAAGTAAAATTTCAAATATGACTTCTTCCCAGGTCTTTGGTCCTTTGTGTGTGTCCCACTGAGGATGTATATAGTCAAGAGTATTATGTTGGAAAGGTACTTAGGTTAATGCTTGTTTTTCCAGTGTAATGAAATTATCTGTTTGATATATAATTTGCCCAATTTATTTCCACTTGATTCCATTTTAGGGACTTTCCCCCCATCTTCATTGACCTCCTTGGGGTTTTGGAGGAAGCCTGGCATCACTATAAATGCATAGTTGTCAGAACTGTCTCGAGATCCTGTTGCATTTAGTTTTATTTAATCAACAATAAGCACTCTACTCCTCTCAGACTTCCAGGCCTCCTACCTCCATCATTCTGGCCACCCCTCTGCTTCCTTCCTTCTTCCATGCAACCTCTATGTGAGGAGAGCCCAACTTCCACTCCTGCTTGCCACCTCCAGTTGATTTCACATACAGCAGTCAGCAGTCAGGCCAGCCTTTTTTTTTTTTTTTCTTTTTTTTTGCATAAACCACATTTTTTAATTGATTAATTAATTAATTTTTGTTACAGATGTTTCTCCTTTTTTCCCCCAGACACCCACCTCCCAATCCTTCTCCACCCCCCACAGCATTGTAGTCTGTGTCCATTGGTTATGCATATAAGTTATTTGGTTTATCCCTTTCCTCCCCCCACCCACCCCTCTCCTTTGAGGTTTGTCAATCTGAAACCTACTCCTTTCTGTGTCTCTGGGTCTATTTTATTCATCAGCTTATTTTGTTCATTATATTCCACAAATAAATGAGATCTTTTTCTGATTGGCTTATTTCACTTAGCATAATACTCTCCAGGTCCCTCCATGTCATCTCAAAAGACAAGAGATCTTTCTTTCTTACAGCTGCATAGTGTTCCATTGTGTATATGTTCCACAGCTTTTTTATCCACACATCTATTGATGGACACTTGGGCTGTTTCCAAATCTTAGCTATTATAAATAGTGCTGCTATGAATATAGAGGTACATCTATGCTTTCTGATTAGTGTTTCAGGCTTGTTAGGATATATTCCTAGAAGTGGGATCACTGAGTCAAATGGCAGTTCCACTTTTAATTTTTTGAGGTAACACCATAGTATTTTCCATAGTGGCTGCACCAGTCTGCATTCCCACCAGCAGTGTATTAGAGTCCCCTTTTCTCCACACCCTCACCAGCACTTGTTGTTTGATGATTTGTTGATGGTGGCCATTCTGACAGATGTGAGATGATATCTTGTAGTTGTTTTAATTTGCATCTCTCTGATGATTAGTGACATTGGGCATTTTTCATATGTCTCTTGGCCATTTGTATGACCTGTTTGAAGAGGTGTCTGCTCATTTTTAATTGTAGACCAGCCTTTTCAAAACATAGATCAGATCATGGTTAAAAACCCTTGCTTGAAATCCTTCGGTGAAATCCTCCACACAGTAGGATGGCTACTGTAAAAATAAATAAATAATAATCAGGAAATAACAAGTATTGGTGATAATGTGGAGAAATTGGAATCCTTGGACACTGTTGGTGAAAATGTAAAATGATACAGCCACTACAGAATGTGGTTCCTCAAAAGATTAAATTAGCATATGATCCAGCAATTCCACTTCTGGGCATACACCCGGGAGAATTGAAAGCAGGGTCTTGAAGAGATATTTGTACACCCATGTTTATAGAAGCATTATTCACAATAACCAAAAGGTAGAAGCAACATAGGTATCCGTGAACACCTGAGACAGGTAAACAAAATGGTATATTCATACAATGGAATATTATTCAACCTTAAAAAGGAAGGAAGGTTTCAACATGAACCTTGAAAACATTATGCTAGTGAAATAAGCTGATCATAAGCAAACAAATACTGTATACAAGGTACCTACAGTAGACATAAGGTAAAATAATCACTGCCAAGGCTGGGAGAGAGCAGAATAGGGAGTTATTGTTTAATGGGTACAGAGTTTCCATTTTGCAAGATGAAAAGAGTTCTGAAGATGGTTGGTGGGGGTCATTGCACAATAATGTGAATGTGCTTAAATACCACTGAACTGTACCCTTAAAGTGTTACAATGATACAGTTTAAAACACTTTTTAATTTAAAAAAATCTTGTGAATTTTTATTTCTCTGAGGATAAAGAACAAAATCCTTGATGAGGCCTAAAGCCTAGTGCCCAAGCCCTCCAACCTCATCCTGTGCCGCTTGCCCCTGTGTCTCAGCCATGGTGCTGGGCTCC